GTAAAGCTGCCCCCGACAGTGCCTGCATCCCATATGGGCGCCAGTTCGAATCCTGGCTGCTCCACTTCCAATCCCACTCTCTGCTATGACCTGGGAAAGCAACAGAAGATGGCCCAAATCCTTGAGCCCCTCCACCCACATGGGAGACCCAGAGAAAGCTCTTGGCTCCTGTTTAGATTGGAGCAGCTCTAGCCATTGCAGCCAACTGGGGAGTGAATCAGCAGATGGAAGACCTCTGTCTCTCTTCCTTCTCTCCCTGTGTAACTCTGCCTTTCAAATAAATAAATCTTTTAAAAAATAATAACTCTTGGGGCTGGCCATGTGTAATGGGTTAAGCTGCTGCCTGCAACACCAGCCTCCCATATTGGAGCACTGGATGAGTCCTGGCTGTTCCTCTTTCCAATCCACATCTCTGCTGTTGCACCTGGGAAATCCAGCTTCCTGCTCATGTGCCTGGGAAGGCAGCAGGGTGGGAGACCCAGGTGGATGTCAGGGATCCGTGTCATTTGAGAAGTGAACCCGAGGAAGAGCTCTGTCACTCTTCCAGTGGAACTGACGCATACCAACAGTCATGACAAAAAGACCCACAGCAGCACACCATAGCACAGAAAAGCACGGCAAAGCTGATGCAATGAAGCCCCACTTCACATCAGTTAAACACTGCGAACAGTTTCGCAGGAACAGCAGATGATGTCATTTTCAAGAATTTCAAAACTAAGCTACAATTAATCCCCAATTTACTCATTAGAAATGTACTGTTAGCAATCTGTTTACCGAAGCCATAAAATTAAGGAACATGGAGGGTAATTTCTCAGTCACGGAGACAAGAGAAACCTGCTTCCATAGGTAAATACAAGTTATTTTAGTCCACTAACTGTTCATTTTAAACATCTTTAAAAGAATTTTAGGAATGTCACAATTTCACAATCATACTTTTAGAGACACCAAAAAAGAACTTATTTCTTCTAAAAGGAAATCAAACATTTTTAATTCATATGACCTCTCAAAATATTACTTAAAAAAAAAAAAAAAAGACTGATTGACTGGTTGACTGATTTGAAAGACAGAGTCACAGGAAGAGAATGAGAGATGGAGAGAATAAGATCTACCATCTGCTGGTTCACTCCCCCAGATGGCGAAGGCCGGGCCAGGTTGAAGCCCGAAAAAAGGAACTCCATCCAGGTCTCCCACTTGAGTGGCAGGAGCCCAAGTACTGGGGCCATCATCTGCTTTTTCCCAAGCACATTAGCAGAGAGCTGGGTAGGAACTAGAGCAGCCAGGACTCAAACCAGTGCTCATACGGATGTCAAATCACAGGCGGCAGCTCTACACACTGCGCCACAACACCGGCCCCTACAAATATTACTTTGAGGCCCATGTTGTGGCATAACAGGATGAGCCCCCACCTGCAATGCTAGCATCCCATATGGGTGCTAATTCATGTCCCAGTAGCTCCACATCTGATCCAGCACCCTGTTAATGCACCTGGAAAAGCAGTGGAAAATGGCCCAAGTTTTTGGGTCCCTGCACTCACATGGGACACCCAGATGAAGCTGTTGGCACCTGGCTTTGACTTGGCCCAGCCCTGACCATTGTGGCCATTTGGGAGTCAATCAGTGGATGGAAGATTGATCTCTCTCTCTCTCTCTAACTCTGCCTTTCAAATAAATAAATAAATCTTTAAATATATATATATATACACACACACACACATATGCACACACACGTTACACTTTCAGCTCAATATAATCACAGAGGAAAGGAAGACATCTTATGAAGGGCAGACTGAACCTAGGGACACGGATATGCACTAAACACCAGAGAATGTTAATTCTGTGCACTTGCTTCTATCACAATTTAATGACCAATCTTTTAGTCATCTCCAGCTATTTTGCTTTATCCTCTTTGTTAGCTAAGAATTTATCTAAATACTTTAACCATTAAACTGCTCTGAGAAAGGGAATATAATTCTGTGGTGTGCACAAAGATTATCTGGTCCTATTTCTTCCCACAGAATAGAACTGAAAGGCCCATCAGAAAAGGCCCTCACAGAAGTTTCTTCTTACAGAACAGAACTGAAAGGCCTACGATTCACTTACACCAACAAAGTCCATTCTGTTTTTCATGAATCAGCATAGCCTGATTCTTAATACAATGTCCTTCCCAAGGCAGGCGTTCTCACAATCCAAATTTTCCTTCTCCAACTGAAATAACCATATTACCATAATCTGTGCCTTTCCTATTCCAAATCACCAGGTGCCTTTCTAAACCACAGATCTCAACAAGCTAGCTCCCTTCTAAAATTCTTTAACAGCTCTTCTCTTCATACAGGGTAAAACTTAAAATATTTTAGCATGATTACATCATTCTAAACTATTTGCTGTCCTCAAAACATTCTTCTCCCTACTGTATTTCCAGTGCGTTCCTTTTCTGTCAATGTTCCCTTTCTAGCCTAAAGTGTTTTTCAAAGTCTTGAGTACCCTTCATTAGCCCAAATGTCACTTCTCAGATCTCCCCAGCAGTCAAAATAACCTTTCTATTCCCCACTGTTATTAGGTTTAAACACCAGAGCTGCCCTTATGTAAGACCTGTCACATCACTGAAACTAGAAAGAACCAATAAGCTCTCTCCAAAGCCAGGAGCCAGGAGCCTCAAGCCTCCTCCAGGTCTCCATGGGGGCAGAGGCCCAAGGACTTGGGCCATCTTCTACTTTTGAAAGACAGTGAGACCTGGAGGAAGCTCCTGGCTTCAGATCGGTGCAGCTCCAGTCGTTGTGGCCATCTGGGGAGTGAACCAGCAGATGGAAGACCTCTCTCTGTCTCCACCTCTCTCTGTAACTCTGTCTTTCAAATAAATAAAATAAATCTTTAAAAAAAAAAGTCAATGAGTAAATATATATATACACTTATAGGGAAGGGCATTTGACACCGCAATGAAGACACTGGGAGGCTTGCATCCCCTATCAGAACGCCTGGTTTGAGTCTCTGCTACTCTGCTTCCAACCCAGCTTCCTGCTAACGCAGACCCTGGAAGGCAGCAGAGAATGCCTCAACTACGCAGGTCCCTGTCACCAGGGTGGCAGACCCACATTGAGTTCCTCTGGCTCTTGGTTTTAGCCTGACCCAGCCCCAGCTGTGACAGGCATTTGGAGAACGAACCTGCAGGTGGAAGATGTATTTGTCTCTCTCCTTCAAATAAGACATAAACAAAAATTCAAAATACATACATGTGTGCATAACCACCTATATTTTCCCAGTGCATCTTATCTAACTAAAAATATTAGAAACATACAGTGCTTTTTGTTATGTGAACAGGGATTAATATCAAATTCATCAAATTACCTCTGACTTCAAGCAGTTTAGCTTACAATTCTAAGGGCCATATCCCAAAAACCACTGTAAACTCTCACCAAAGTATAATACCACCCTCAAGGCCTTGTATTCAGTATTTCTCCTCCAACTTCAACACCTCCACAATAGGTTTTCCTTTCAACTAAATTTAACTTGATGGAATGCAGTGGCATCCCTTTAATGAGGCAGGTTTGGGGGAAATGACTGAAACTTGAGTGTTTTAGACTATTTTATGCTGGAGAAGTGGAACACAACAAGATCTTATACTGAGTTTATAGTGGTCAAAAAATTTCATCAACCATTTAACTAGACGATACTCACATACTAAATAAAATTAAGAGAAGTTAAGGGCTTTTATCCATATCACAGAGTTGTGATGAGCCAGAACTTAACTTTCTTTCTTTGCTAACCTAAATACTTACATCAGTTTAATATGCAACTATTTTCAGAATGCTTGAAATATATCTAGGCAGGCAGATAAATCCACAAAATGTTTCCATTTATCATTTTGAGTTAGAAAATTTGAGAAGTCTAAACAACTGAGCCATTCAATTACACAACCATTTGCTTTACTTCAATTAATTCTAAGCAGGAAATATGAAAAGAAAAATAAACTAGGCCTTTTAATCAGGTCATAGAATTTGTATCTAGTAAATTTAAAATATATACCACCTAAATTTAAAAATGGGACATCTGGGAGGAACAGATTAAATAACAGTCATTGGAAACTGAAAATGCTCAGACTATCAACAAGTGAAGTAGTAATAACAGCTGGCAATTAAGAGACAAATTCACTGAACATGAACATGAACTGGGTATCCAGGAAAGCACTTTAAATGCAGTTTTCATTTTAATCATAACTTTATAAAAATCTGTATATGAGATAAGAAAGGTGAGGCTAGGAGAGTATTAAGTAACTTGTCCAAGATTACTAAACGTATTCTAAACCATCTACTTAGAATTATAATTTCAAAATTCATATTCCTAACTTTCCTTGTTAAGTTTCCTTGCTAAGATAATTTCAATCTATTATTTTTATCTTAGAGTAAACCTTACTTGTAAAAAATAAAAATGCACAATTAAGAGTTTACACAACCTCAGAGAACAACAGAGTTCCAAATGCATTGAAAGAGTTTTTCAACCTGAGCTTACAAATTGGCTACCACCTTGATGTTAAAAATCAATTCAAATGTGTTCATAAGTTGATTTAGTAGTTGATAATAAACATTTCAACAATATATCCCACTAATACATATTTAACCAAACAGCTTTCACCAATTTTTAACCAAAATAATAGAAATAAGTTGGTACTATACATCTAAGGCATTAAAAATTTTAAAGATACCACATTTTCAGAGACAAAAGATTTGCCTTACATCACTCTATTCCTTTTTGGCAATTTAATGCTAATAATGAGTACCTGGAGGAGGAAACAGCATTTGTAAATCATCACATAGCTTCAGGTTACTTAACAGAATGGTTCATTCAATGGCCACATGCTAATCAAAGTTTCTGTACTCAGTACATATATGAGCCAAGATTACATTCTTTAAAATTAATACTACTAGTCAACAACCACCACCACGGATCACTGAGAATTGGGGAGAATTCAACAGCTCATTTGTGAACACCAAAGGCTGTTTAACCTACCTGTCACTGCTGGTACTACTGCTGCTGCTGATTGAATCACTACTGGAAGATCTACTCCTAGAGCCGCTGCCGCTAGGGGACCGTGTAGGTCTGGACGCTTGGCTAGCCAGTCTTTGAGGAGACTGATTTCTAGACTGGGATGAATGTGGTGACCGACTCCTGCTGTGCTGGTAATTCCGCTCTGGCCTTCTGCCTCGTACCTCCCGGGGAATGTCATCCCTGTAGATATCCCTGTGTACCACACTGGGCAGCGTAAACTGCTCCCGAGCCCTAGGTTCGTATCGGGGGTCATGAGCATCAAAGCGGTTTGGACTTCGACTCCGAGAAGTGTAATAGAGCCCATGCTGTAAAGTCCGCTCTCGAGGATCTCTATAGTAATCCTGATCGTAATGTCTTGTCCGATCAAATCCTCCCGTCCCCCGTTCATGGTGTCCATAGGCACTATGTTCATAAGCACGCTCCCTGTTATCTGAAGCCCTGCATTTAGGAGGGGGGGAAAAATATTTAATCAGACAGGAACAAGTAAAACTAAAAGCAAGTCATGCAAATATTCACTTCGACATTGCCTTTGAAACTGGTCATTCCCTGGACAGCATTAACCCACTTAGAAAGCAACTACTAACAAGCTTAGCATTTTACTGAACTCCAAAACTAATTTACACAGAGGAAAAATCACTGTTTTAAGTGTAGTTTGGGCTTTCATGACTTGTGTTCTGGATATCAGTTGCCCATTTTATTAGGATTTTCTGACTTGCATATAGAAGAATTCTGTACACCTCTTTTCTATTTTAAGTTGAACTGAGTAAGAGGTTGTCATTTTAACACGAAAGCGTTTTCACTTTCATCAGATTACTTGCAAATATATTTTGTGTCACATCTCCACACATTTTAACATAGACACGAAAGCCGCAATGCAATGTTCTGTAGTAGGAAGGACTTTCAAGGAAGTCCAGAAAAATATTTAAATGCAACCTTTTCTCATTAAGTTTAGACTGCTTAATTATACAGACTACACAAATTGCTGTGCCAAATTACATTTAATAAAAATGAAATTTCAAAAAACAACCCTACATGCTTAGGCTATCAAAATATTAGACTACCACATGCTATTCTATGTAAATTTAACAAAGAATAAGAGTTATTTTACCTCCTTATGCTACCAAATGCCACATAATTTTTTAAATGTCTATAATCTAATTTGTTAATGCATCTACTATTATCAATTAACTTCATTTAATTTAAAAGTATTTTAATAGGATATGAACATTTATCAACCTAAAAGTACAAGAAGTATTTTACACACTTGCAATTATGTGTTAATATTAAAAACTAATTCTAACTCTATAAAGAAATCTTAAGTGCTCTTTGGCTTCCAGAAATCAGCTACTGAGTTCCTAAAAGATCACTCCGCTTTAATTTCTCTTCAACCTCATCTCTAGATTAATCTATCAAAAGGGAATAAGAAATCATAAAAGATAAAGAATTAAAATATATTCAATGAAGAATATCTGGCAAAATCTTTAACAATTAAAACTATGTGCCCAATAGATGGCTAGATTTGAGATCTCTTCACATTCATTTTCTCTATTATTTCACAATTCCATCTTCCTAGGCTATTTTTTGCTTTCTTGATACCATTATGGAAAGAATTGGCATGGCAAAAAAGTTCAATGTTTCCGACCAAATATATTAAATAACTTTCTCCTTTTTTATTTCTGCTATCCTGAAATCTGGATTAATTCAATGTCTAACAAGAGTTTCCATTGAGATTTAAGAGAAAATTTTATAAATAATTCATTTAGCATCCTATCAAATGTTAATCAATTAAAGTCATTATTAATGATATAACAAAAGCAATAGACAAAAGTTCTAGGAGAATTACTGTTACAGTTGATATTTTATAAATATGCAAAGTTCTTATCTATTAGGAAGAATACAGAAGGCAGGCACAAGGGCTAGCAGAGCTGAAATCTAATTGCTATCCTTTGATTCATCTATTAGTATCAAATACTTCTAGAGTTAGTGGGAAAAGAAAGAGTTTGACTTGGGTTAGGAGAGGGGCTAATATACACAGGTCAGGACATACCAACCTTTTCCAAGTGTGGAAACACGACCTATAATCCCAATTAAATCTAGGGAGAGAATTGTGAACATAACTTCCCCAATTTTGGCCCCTCTTATGGGGGTAATCCACCTTCTTAATGGGCAAGGGTGTCAAATGATATTTAGATGAACCACAAGAAAAAAATCTTAGTGACCAGATAAAATAATTCCACTGGAAGCAAGTAGTCCCAGACAAACTGTAATTCTCAAACCCCCAGACTTCTTTCTTGAGATAGTAGACAATTATAAATTGATCCACATTCATAAAAATCTCCAGTCCTAAGTGTGAATCAGGCAGCTGGCAGAAGAGGAAATATCCTGCAATTCCATCGAGCGCTCGCTGAGGGGACGACTGCTCGCCAGTTGTTTGCTTTTGTAGTCATCCAGCCCAGTCAATTTTGATTGCTGTATCCACAACTGATCATCACCATGTGTTCAAAACTAAAGTACCTTTAATTGGGCAGCAACTTGCATAAGAAATGAGATAGTAATCCTCTTCCCCTGGGCTAATGGAGTCTTGACAGGATGGCATCCCATACATTCCAGCAATTAGGAAAGAATGGCTATATTCCAGGATTTGGGAACGTCCAGCATCTCAATTTTCCCCAATTCCATCAAGGAGTATAATTCCAACACAGAAATTGTGTAGATCCAAAACAGGAAAATCAAGCATCACCTTCTCTCTTCATCCAAGTATATATCTCCATGTTAAATTATTGTTTGTAGAATCCAAATGGCTGAATCATTATGGTCTGTTAAATTTTTTTTGGTGACAATCCAATTCATTTGTAAATTTTATGTAGTGAAAACGAAGTAGCAGATACCAACTTCTATAATCATCTGTAAGCTGTAATACTCCAGAAATATTCCAAATAGTACAACCATATAAGCTGTAGCCAAATAGCTCCATCGGGCAGAAGGGATATATCCAAGGAACACCTTAATATTATCCAAGAGAAGGAATCATCTAGAAGACAGGTAACTCCAAAAATGACGCTGCCATGGGAAATCTTCCACCACTTTACATCTCAAGAGTAGATATCCAATCAGCTGCAGGAAATATCCTCTACGATTCCACAAGACACCAGCCAGTGAGACAGGGATCACTTCCGTTTCCAACCCAAAATAGGAAACATTGAGAATGCCCAAATTTTAAAATCCATCTGGGGCCCCTAAATACGAGTTTCTGTTTCTCACCATATCAAATACAAAATACCTGCCTACAGAAACCTTGGAACTTACCCATCAAGTCTCCGCTCATAACGTCCTTCTCGTGCATGAAGTGATGGTGGAGGGCCATAAGCAGGCCCTCCACCACCTCCTCTGAACCCAGAAACCTCTCTACTACGAGATGCTATGGAAACTGTATCATCCAATCCCCGAGCAGCACTCGGAATGGTGCCTGGTTCATTATAATCCGTGCGTAGGTCTCTATCTCCCATTTTGTTGACAGAGTTGTGAGCTTTCTGTGCACTTTTGATGTCCACAAAATCCACAAAGGCAGCCACTCCTCCTTCAGATCCCCTCTTGGGGAGGATTTTGACACTTTCCACACGGCCATATCTGGAAAAAATAAAGCAAATATTATTGCTGCATATCAATAATTTTCCAAAATGTGTCTTTAGAATGTTTCTTATTTTTAGTTAATTCACATTATTTATGTATACGTTAGAAGGCATAAAATGGCTCTCTTTTACACTTAGACTTTTCTCTCTAGGGCAAACATTTGTACCACATTCTTGTATTACTCTCATTTCTTAAATATATAAAATTTACAAAATTAACCTTAACCTTTCTAGAATACTCGGCTGAAATGAATCTCTCCAATTTTGGAGAATGGGTGTTTGCTCCACAACCTACATCAGAATGCCTGAATCTGAATGCCTGTTCTGTTCCCAAATCCAGTTTCCTGCTAGTGTGTACCCTGGGAGGCCTGGTGATGGCTCTGGTATTTGGATTTCTGCTACCAACATGGGAGAAACGGCTCCTGCCCTCAGCTTGGCCCAGCCATGGCAAATGAGGGCATTTGGAGAATGAACCAGCAGATGAGAGCTCTCCATGTCTGTCTAGCCATTTTTCTACCTCTCAAATAAATAAATAAATAAATAAATTTAAAGGTTTTGGGGAATTTTCACACTCTAAAATATTTTTCAAGTAAATTCCACAGTATTGTTAGTTAACTACAGTCACGATGCTATACACCAAATCCCGAGAGTTCCTGAATCTTGAAAACAATCAAAGTAATTTTTAAAATCTTAAAAGATCTTTATTAAATAAAGACTAAATACACAAAGAAAATTTATAGGTTTAATTTTAATCTAACTCATTAAGTAATAAAATTCCTGGAAAAAAAAAAAGAGATGTTTTCAAAAATAAATTTAAAGGGGAGTGGGTACTGTGGCACAGTGAGTGAGGCCACCAGTGAGGACGCCACATCCAAGTGCAGGTTGGAGTCTGGGCCACTGTTTCCAACCCAGCTTCCTGCCAATGCAGCCTTGGATGCAGCAGATGCTGGCTCAAGTGTCTGGGCCCCTGCCATCCATGTGGGAGAAGCGGATGGAGTTTCCTGGATTGTGGCTTCAGCCTCGCCCAGCCCTGGCTGCTGTAGGCATTTGAAAAGTGAACCAGTAGATTGAAGGGGTGTCTATTACTTTGCTTTTCAAGTAGATGAAAATAAACATTTTTAAACGTTTTTGTTATTTCATTTTCTTTTTCTAGTAGGCTAAAAACTGTCAAAAAGTATGGGGCCAATGCCATGGCTTCACTTGGTTAATCCTCCGCCTGCGGCACCGACATCCCATATGGGCGCGGAGTTCTAGTCCTGGCTGCCCCCTTCCAGTCCAGCTCTCTGCTGTGGCCCGAGAGGGCGGTGGAGGATGGCCCAAATGCTTGGACCCCCGCACCCGCTTTGGAGACCAGGAAGAAGCACCTGGCTGCAGATCGGCGCAGTGCCGGCTGTAGAGGCCATTTGGGGAGTGAACCGACGGAAGGAAGACCTTTCCCTCTGTCTCTCTGTCGATAACTCTACCTGTCAAATAAAAAAAATTAAAAAAAAAACTTCAAAAAGTAAACTTTAGGGCTGGTGCTGTGGCGTAACAGGGACCTACAGTGCCAGCATATCATGAGTCCCAGCTGCTCTACTTCCCACCCTGCTCCCTGCTAATGCAACCAGGGAAAGCAGCAGAGGATGGCCCCAGTGCTTACGACCCTGCTCCCACATGGAGACCCAGAGGAAGCTCTTGGCTCCTGGTTTCGTCCAAGCCTACCTAACACTGGGCATTGCGGCCATATGGGAAGTGAACTAGTGAATGGAAGATCTCGTGTGTGTGTGTGTGTGTGTGTGTGTGTAACTGCCTTTCAAATAAATCTTTTTTAAAATGTACCCTTTGCATAGAAATAAAATTACTTTTTATATCAAATAATAAATCTGAGAATCTTTTGATAGATCTTATGTTCTAGTTTTTATTCAAAAATGTATACTATGTAAAAATTTTCTATTACGTAGAAAAATTTTAGAGTCTTATATTCTGAATCACCTGTGAGAAATAAAGTCTGAAATCACTCAAAAATTCATGCAAATTCTGTTAATTTCATTAGCAATAATTATATTTCATATGTTTATAATTCAACAGTTTAGAAAGACGGGAATGGGGACCAGCGCTGTGGCACAGCTGATTAAAAATCCCATGTGAGTGCAGGTTCAAGTTCTGGCTGTTCCACTTCCAATCCAGCTCTCTAATGCACCTGAGAAAGCAGTAGAGGATGGCCCAAGTCCTTGGGCCCCTGAATCCACATGGGAAACCCAGAAGAAGCTCCCGGCTCCTGGCTTCAGATTGGCTCACCTCCAGCCATTGTGGCCATTTGGGGAGTGAACCAGTAGATGGAAGACCTCTCTCTCTGTGTGTCTCTGTAACTCTTTCAAATAAATAAAATAAATTTTTTTTAAAGGCAGGCACAGCACTTTTAAATACAGCATTCTTATCTGCTGACAATCTACAATCATAATTTTACGCTTTCCATGAAAAAACTCTGAAAGCAAAACTTTTTTATGTATACCCTAGTATTAAGTTCCACTCATTACAAAGAAAACATAATAGTAAAATTCAATTTCATCAGTAAATTGAACTAAAAGTATCAAAATAACCTGGTATAAATTAATAAATGAAATGATCTTTGTAATTTGGAAAAAAATTGCTAGAAACTAAAATAGTTTTTCTACACACAAAAAAAAACCCTTTCCAACATACTTGACAAAGGACTTGTATCTGGACTACAAGAAATCTTACAACTCACTCCATTTCTTTTAAATAGGCAAAAGAGTAATGCATAAACAGCAGAAGAGCACATGAAAAAAATGGCCAACATTATTAGTCATTAGGGAAATGCAAATCAGAACCACAAGACACCACACTTCACACACAAAGATGCCCAAAAAACCAGAGCGAACATCTAAAAACAAAAACAAAACAAACAAACAAAAAAAAAAAAAACACAGAAAATCACAAGTATCAACAAGGATGTGGAAAAATTTAAATCTCAAGAACAACTGGTAAAAACATTCAGTGACCCACCAACTGTGGAAAAGTAGGCATTTCTTTAAAAACTTAGCACAGAAATACTCTATAATCCAGCAGTCCAAAAGAACTGAAAACTGCAATTCAGACACCTTTCTAGCATGATTGTGCAGCCTTACAATATTCAAAAGGTGAATAATCGGAAAATCCATAGGTGGATGAGTGTATAAACAAAATATGACACATACAAACAATGAAAATAGTAATCGATTACATCTCATTGTCCTATATGCAGGACAGGACACCTATAAAGACTGACTGAGCAATAAATATACCACTTGTGGTAACTTTGAAATAATGTATCACTGAAATATTTGCAGAATTGAAAACTTGGGACTTAACAGATTAGGACATAAAGAAGTTCTTTTGCATGCGATAACATGGATAAACCTCAAAAACACTATGCTAAGTGAAATAAACCAGACACAGAGAGACAAATAGTCTATGATTCTATTACTGGAAGAGTCCAGAAGAGGCAAACTCAAAGAGAGGTTAACAATAACAAGAACTGGTAGAAGACAGGAATTGGGAGTTATTGCCCAATGAATAGTTTCTATCTGGGATGATGAAAACACTGAACATAGTGATGATGGTTATACATCATTTTGAATGTACTTAATACCACTCAATTGTATACCTAAAATGATTAAATGGAGGGCCCCAGTGAAGTCGCTGCTGTGATCTCAGAATCCTATATGGGAGTGCTAATTTGAAGAGTCACAGTTACTCCACTTCAGATCCAGCTCCTTGCTGATGCACCTGGGAAACGCAGTGGATGATGACCAAGTTTCTGGGTGCCTGCCACCCACCCAGGAGACTCAAATGGAGCTCTAGGCTCCTAGCTTAGGCCTGACCCAGCCCCAGGCCTTTGCAGCCATTTGAAGAATGAATCAATGAAGATCTCCCCTTCTTTCTTTCTGTCCCTGTCACACTGCCTCTCGAATAAATAAAATTTAAAAACTGATTAAAATGACACTGTGTATCTTGTACCCACTCCCCCCCACACAGCCCATCACCAAACCCAAATTCAAGTATACCTTTTTCTTATCCTTTAAAAAAGGGGGGGGGGGGGCTTTTCACCAAGATGGAGCTGAAGGCATAGAAGCTCCTGGGGTTAGCTTTGTGGCACAGCTGATTAAACAGTTGCTTTTAACACCAGCACTCCATGAGTGCCAGATGGAGACCTGGCTGCTCCTCTGCTAATACAGCTCCTTGCCACTGGGCCTGTGAAGGCGGCAAAAGACAGTCCAAGTACTTGGTCCCCTGTACCTACATGGAAGACCCAGGTGGAGTTCCTGACTCCACTACTGTGGCCATGTGGGGAGTGAATTGGCAGGCAGAAAGATGTGTTATTTGTGTGTGACACTCTGCCTTTCAAATAAATAAATCTTTTAAAAAAGAAGTCCCTGTACCCCCAAAGCACAGCTAAAGTTTACACAAATGCCAAGGAAACAGAGCTGAAAGGGCAAGCAACTGGTCACAAAAAAAGAGCTGCAAATCACCTACTTTCTTCTTTTTTTTTTACGATTTATTTATTTTGGCCGGCGCTGTGGCTCAATAGGCTAATCCACCACCTAGCGGCGCCGGCACACCAGGTTCTAGTCCCGGTCGGGGCGCCGGATTCTGTCCCGGTTGCCCCTCTTCCAGGCCAGCTCTCTGCTGTGGCCCAGGAAGGCAGTGGAGGATGGCCCAAGTGCTTGGGCCCTGCACCCCATGGGAGACCAGGAGAAGCACCTGGCTCCTGCCTTCGGATCAGCACGGTGCGCCGGCCGCAGTGTGCCAGCCGTGGCGGCCACTGGAGGGTGAACCAA